AAATGAACTGGAACGAAAGGAAATGGAAAATATTCCTTATGCATCAGTGGTTGGGAGTTTAATGTATGCTCAAACGTGTACTCGACCAGATATCAGCTTTGCTGTTGGAATGTTAGGTCGGTACCAGAGTAATCCCGGAATAAATCACTGGAAAGTTGCAAAGAAAGTTCTAAGGTACCTGCAAGGTACCAAAGAATATATGCTCACATATAGAAGATCAAATCATCTGGAAGTCATTGGTTATTCAGATTTAGATTACGCTGGATGTGTTGATACGAGAAAATCGACTTTTGGATATTTGTTTCTACTTGCCGGAGGAGCAGTATCATGAAGGAGTGGAAAGCAGTCTGTCATCGCTGCTTCCACTATGGAAGCTAAGTTTGTAGCATGTTTTGAAGCTACCGTTCACAGTTTATAGATGCGGAACTTTATCTCAGGGCTTAGGATTGTCGACACTATAGCTAGGCCGCTGAGAATTTACTGTGATAATTCTGCAGCTATCTTCTTCTCGAAAAATGATAAGTACTCAAAAGGTGCTAAGCATATGGAGATAAAATACTTATTTGTCAAAGAGGAAGTTCAGAAACAAAGAGTATCATTTGAGCATATCAGTACTGATTTTATGATAGCGAACCCATTAACTAAGGGATTGCCGCCTAAGACTTTTAAGGCTCATGTTGATCGTATGAGCATTATAGATAAGTCATTACTGTAATTTAAATAATTGCTCATTATATATATGATATTTTGAATTCAATAAAAGACTTGTTTCTGTTATTGAAATTCATATTATCATTAAATTATTTGTGTACACATGAAGTTGATGGAGATAATATGCATTATTGTTTTACAGTTATTCCTGGCCATAAAAGATGTTTTGGATGACAAACGATTGTGATACTTGGAAGGAATCACATTCAAATAAAATGATGTGTGACCGCCAAGATTCAATTGTTTGTTGTTCAAATAAAAGTTATCGGTGATATATGAACACTACTAGAAAACACGGAAAATGTGACGCAAAAGGTGACGCAAAATTTGCGTCACTAAAATGGTGACGCAAAAGTGACGGAAATAGTGACGCAATATTTTCGTCACTAAAGCGTCACTAAATAGTGACGCAATAGTGACGCAAATAGTTGCGTCACTAAACGGTGACGCAACAAATAACGAAAAATTTGCGTCACGAAAAAAGGTGACGCAAGAGTGACGCAAATAGTTGCGTCACCCTTTGGTGACGCAATTTAGTCACCGTTTAGTGACGCAATTGCGTCACTATATCTGTATTTTATTATTTATACGTATAAACATACAAATATTTATATATAAGTATATATTTTATATATACATATATATATATATATATATATATTTGTACGTATAAATATACGAGTATTTCTATATAAATATAAATTTTATATATACGTATATTATATATATATATATATGTATTTGTATGTATAAATATACGAATATATATAAAACATAAATTTTATATATACGTATATATTATATATATGTGTATTTGTATATACAAATATACGAGTATTTTATATATAAATGTGTATTTTACATATATTTATACATACAAACATATGTTATGTATATAAATATATATTTTATGTATGTATATATACGTACAAATATATACGTATATATATATATATATATATATATTTGTAAGTATAAATATTTGTATATGTATATGTATTAATGTAGTAATATATCAGAAGTTTAACTTGGATCAGTTGGTTGGTTGTCAATTGGAACTCTAAAGTTAAGTGTGCTTGAGCTGGAGCAGTGGAAGGATGGGTGACCTCCTGGGAAGTGGATTTCGAGGATTCAATCTCAGGGTATAGGTCGGGAATAGGGTATAGGATTAGATTCGGGATTAAAAAAAATTATTTTTGGATCCAAAATACGTTTTAGTGACGCAATAATTGCGTCACCTTTTTTAGTAACTAAATAGTGACGCAATTGTGTCACCAAAAGGTGACGCTAAAAGGTGACGCAATTGCATCACTATTTAGTGACGCAAAAATTGAGTCACTATTGCGTCACTCTTTTGTGACGCTTGGTGACGAAATCTGAATTGGTGACGGTATGAATGGTGACGCTTTTGGTTGCGTCACTATTGCATCACCTTTTGAAAAGGGTGACGCAAAAATATAAAAGGGTGACGCAACTTTTGCGTCACCCTTTTACTGTTTTCTAGTAGTGGAATACAATATAAAATTATGCGTTTTAAAGATTGTAGATCATCAAATCATCACATGGACCAAGTGGGAGAATGTTGGAAATATAAAACATTAAAATGACCCATAAAACTTTGTGTTTGGACTTCACATTAGTTTGAACTCATTGATGGATATGAGTCAATTAAGTTTGAAAGTCCATAGGTATTCATGGTAATCTATCTCTCCTTACCCTATAAATATAGGATCTTGATTCACATTTTTCATCCATCAGAAAAATTATCAAAGAAAGGAGGAAAGGAGAGAAAAACTGATTTACCCACTTGTTCTTCAAAGTCATTCCGTTTCAATATGGATTCAGGTATATTTCATATACGATATATACTATCTTATTAAGTTTGTGTGAATTATGTAATACCGTATCCAGTTTTGGTGAGTTTTCATAAAGTTATCGAAAACCATCAATATAAAGTTTACAATTGTACCGACAATAAATAGGAAAATTCAGATCATATATGTATGTATGAGCATACGTATATATGTGTATATATATAGACATGTACTCGTCAGCGTGACGGAGGGAGATGTAGAGTTTTGCTGGGACCTAGCCGAAAAGAAAACTCGAGAAAAGCCGGCTACTTCTTGTCTTTTATCTTTAATCCATTTTTCAGGTTTTATACGATATATCTTAAAATCTACTCTCTCAGTTTCAAAATAGTTTCAAAATAATTGTTGTTTTAGATTATTTCACATTTTTTTAAGAAAAGATAAAAAATCACATATATCCTTATTTAATTATAAAAACAATGTTATCATTAATAAATTATTGGAATTTAATAGAAATAAAATTGACAACTATTATAAAAAAAGTCTTGAAAATATAGAATGACAAATATTTTGAAACATAGAAAATAACCTAAAACTATAAATATTTTGAAATCGGTGGGTACCAAAATCAATTTATTGTTTTATTATTTATATAAATAAATACGTTATAAATTTGTGACATCCAGGGTGGATAATGATGGGTGTAAAAATGGAATATTTATTGACGGATTAAGTTGTCTAATAAAGGCAAAATAGTGAATAATATGTATGAGAGAAAAAAAAAACACGAAATGATATCCACGTGGGCATCTCATCCATCCACGCATCGAATTTCGATTGTGACTATTATAGAAATATTCGTTACATACATACATATATACATATGCCCCAAAACGTCTGTCCAGAACATTTGGTTAAAAAAAAATTACAAAACTCTCTCGAACTGTACATATATATTCCCCGGAAGTTTTCACTATATTTTTGGAGACATTTGTCTTTCCGCGAGGCCCATATCTTTTATTGGGCCTATTTTCAATAAGCCCATATATTTATATCTTTCGACGGCCCAAATTCGAGAATATAAAAACGAAAGGAACTAGTAAATACTTATAAAATAATTTTGTAAATATATTTTCCGGGGTTTACTTCAGTTGTATTTTAACATTTAAAATTTTAAAACTTAAATATATGTGTGTATTTGGTGGATAATCGTATGTATGTATGTATGCATGTATGTATGTATGTAACGAATATTTCTATGATGGTCAGAATCTAAATTGGATGTTAATTTTAATATACATACATACCTACGTACCCGTATTTATGTGGCAAAGATGCATAGATCCTTTGGAAAAGGAAAAGAAAAATAAGGCAGAAGTGGTTAAAGTTCCATTGAATCAGGCGAAGGACACGACGGCTGACTTCTCTCAATCATGAGAGTGTCGATCGGAAGCTTATACCTAATTACGCTTAACCTCCAAACTTCACATCATATATATATATATATATATATATTCAAGTGCTAATTATAACTCGTCGTACGAATATAATCTAATGTTTTTTATTACTTTCCTTGACAACTATTTCTTTTATTTGGGGATCTCCCCCGGCTCTGTTGGTTTGAGAGTCCACTTCCTGAACAAGAGGTCGTGGGTTCAACACCCAGGGTATGGAGATTTCCCCTCCGACCACCTTCGGGTGCTTCACATCCCACACGTGTGGTGCCGGTTGTGCGTGTGGGTCGGGATTAGTCTGGACCCTTTGGGCCTGGGATTACCCGGTTATCCAAAAAAAAAAAAAAACTATTTCTTTTATTTCTCCAGAAAAAAAAAAGTTAAAGTCCACGACACTCTTTTTTATAATGTTTTTGTCCCTTTCGTCTCTACCACGAAATTAATGTCTAACACGTCTATCGATATATATATGTACTTCATATGTTTGTTACCATAAATAAAAATGAAAATAAAGACACTCAACTTGTAAGAAAATGACAAAAACAAATCCAGCTGTGAAATTCGGAAAGGAAACATAAACTTTTAAAAATGATGTTTAGGTTTCCGATATATATATATATATATGTATATATTAAAAATGATAACTATATAAGCGAAGTTAAGCGTTAGATTAACGATTTCTAATATAAATGAATAATATCTATTTGCATTCAAAATAAATTTGTTTTATATAATTTTTAAAATTATATTGATTCAATATAAAAATAATCGAATATATTTTTCAGATAAGAAATAGTTTTTAAAAAATCGATTAAAATTCAAATTCTAGTTAATCTGAATCTAATATAAAAATTAATGAATATCTATTTGGATAACTTTTTGTAGGAATTAAGTGTTTTTTCTGTATTTGTAATCATTGGCATTTTAGATTAATGATATTTATATTATCAAATTGTTTACAAAATATCCGCAGCTAGAAAAGATAAATATGACCAGAAAATCGGGACCAGCTCTCGCCTGCGCGTGGGAGCGAATATTATTCTTTAATTCAAGAATCAATATGAATTACAACATTTTCTTTTTTAACGACCATATTGTAAAACAAATAATACGATACATAAATACCACATGAGATACGTTGTAAAAAATAAATACTGTGAAAACATGATACACATCATTAGTATTTTCGAACAAATATCAAAATTGCTCAGAGGAAAAACCAAAAACAAAAGCAAATTAATGATACGTTTTGAGATCGTATCGTGTATCAACTGCAATATCAAATCCTTAGGGAGGATTATAATATGAAATGTATAATCATATTGATGATCAGTAAGTGTAGAACTCAGCCAATTCTTCCATGGATCCTCCCCCCAATCCGCCATGAGAGCAGTTACCACTGTTCTTGAGCATCCACAGCAAGTGCTCGAACAGAACAACTTCACAGGCGACGATCCTTAGGGAGGATTATAATATGAAATGTATAATCATATTGATGATCAGTAAGTGTAGAACTCAGCCAATTCTTCCATGGATCCTCCTCCGAATCCATCATGACCATCTCCATGGGAGCAGTTGATGTTCTTGAGCATCCAAAGCAAGTGCTCGAACAGGACAACTTCACAGGCGACAACGATCTCTCGATCGTGCTCGGCGAATCTTGAAGACCGATCCACGAGTTCTTGGAAGAGCGGGTGTCCGATGATGTCGGAGCTCAACGTGTACGGTCTCCGACACTTTCCCACGTAAACCAAGTGGAGATCGTCGTCGTTGCGGTTTCCCTTCGGGAGTTCCACGGCTGAGGATTCGCCGGAGACGGCGACGGATGCGGCGGAGGAGTGGTGGGTCGACTTGGTGAACGACGGCCATCTCTTCATTGCCGACTTGAGTTTTGTCAACTTCCCGACTTTGGCCATTTGGAGAGAAAAATCTTTGATTTTCTTTTGATTGAACAAAAAGGGTTAGTTTTTTTTTTCTTCAAAGATTAGGGTTTATGTGTATTGGTGTATGCGTGCATGTATCGGTGGGGTTTGATGAAGAAGGATTGTCTGTGGAAGAGAACTCTTACAAGTCATGGGACGTACGAACAAGGAAGCTTCGTCCATTTATATACACGACCAGAGAGAGAGAGAGAGAGAGAGAGGTAGGACGCATGGCCCATGGACTGCTGTAGAACAGCTCAGAGAGATAAGGACAGAAGCGGCGAAACCACTGTCTATTCGCTCATCCTTTCCATATTTTTGTTTATAAAATTACACATATATATACATAATATAATATGTTTGTGTGATGTGTGTATTTGTGTAGGCAACCCCTTGTCTGTTGTTGTCTGGTGGTGTGTGTGTATTTGTGGATGACCATAATAATATATGCTTTCAATGATTTGATGGCTTTATTATGTATCCGAATCCAAATTGTCATATCTTTTTCATATTATTCAAGGTAATGTAATGTAATGTTTAAAGATAAAAAAGTATTGTTTGTTTTAAAAAAAATATAGGCTAAAATTCCCTACTTTTGCTTATTATATAATTTTATGGGATCAACTCCAAACAATAAACTAATCTCCACTAATCATGAGACTGATGCCTGAAATATAATTATATATGTATGCCCAAATCCAACATCAATATATAATGATGTTATTATTATTTGATATTTCTAAGTTAATTACAATTATTGGATAGCTTTAGTTTGGTGGACGATAAAAAAATTATTAAATCCAAAACGTCTTTCAGAAAGAAAAATAAAATAATAATTTTTTTTAATAATTAGCTGGTTGCAGCAGGAGCTAAATTCTTTTAGTTTACCATACACACACATATATCTATATATATATATATATATATCCAACTGAATCGATGTTATCAACCCTTATAGATGATCCCGATATATACAACCTTAGATGATAGGTTTCCACAAGATTTGTAATAATTTGCAATTATTAGCAGCTAATAATAACAATAATATATAATAATAACATGTGTGTCGTTTGTTGATTATACACGAAATCCAAGCTAAAAAAGTCATGATTCTAACTCGAATTCGTGGTAAAAGCTTGAAGATGAAAATTCGTATGTGGGTTCGCATGTGATGCGGAACTCTTTGAGATTACATATGAACAAATCATAGCAATTAATCACGTTGCTGATACACCAAAAAAATACCTCAGCTCTTAAAATTTAAAATTATACAAAAAAAATTTCAATAAATTTGAATAGAATTATCGACAGTATAATTAAGAACCGTGTATGAAATTGATTTGAAGAGTTGAGATATTTTATATATATTTTTTAATATTTGGTATATTTATTTGTTAAATTAAAAATTCATATATTTTTTGACACATTTTGAAAAAATTCTAAGATTTTTCCTAATTAATTAGCAAAACTTGGTAATTATTACGTGGAAACTGCACATAATGTTATAATTTAGTCTGTACCCAGAAACGTATCTTGCTCAATACATATATATATAAATATGGACCGTTATTTCCAACAATGAAATATTACAATAAACATTAAAACATTATGTTTACATAATGTTAATAGCAAAATTTTCTTTATAATAAAAAGACGAAAAAAATGGTTTCCAAAGGGTTTTCAACTCAACAACAAAGAACCTTGCATGACAAGCAATGTGGTTTCTTCTTGCTCAAGCAATCGTAAGTAGACGATGAAACATTACTCTGACTTCTTCTTCCTCCTGTTCTTTCTGGCCTTTGGTTTTCCTCTCCTTCCAGCTTCTGAATCATTGGGATCGTCTTTGTTTATCAAATGTTCGTACTCTTCAAGACTCGCAAACGGTGATTTCGATTTCCGTTTCCGTTTCCCTTGCTTTTTCTTGTCACCACCACCACCACCACCATCATCATCGTCATTGTCATCACCATCACCATCACCATCACCATCACCATCACCATCACCATCATCCATGTCTCCTATATCAATATCCTCACCTTCATCGCCATCATCATCATGGATGGCATTGTCTTCAAATTCTTCTCCATCAAGCATGTCAATGTCCAACTCAGCATCACCCACCAAGTCGTCATCATCTTCATCTGCAACTTTATCTAAATCATCGTAATCATAGTCACCTTCCTCGGCTTCTACAACATCGTCAGCAGCATCCAACATATTCTCTATCTCTTCATTATCACTCTCATCACCACCATCAACATCATCATCGACATCGACATCACTCTCGTTGTCTCCGCCATCACCATGGTCCACATCGTACAGCTCTTCTGCAGCTTCTTCCTCGGGCAATTTCTTCTTCTTTTTCTTCGATTTCTTACTGGAGTTCATTTTGTTCACATAGAACTTGTGGAAGACAAGATCTTCTGGGGGCACGTCCTCTTCCGCCAAGGAGAGTATCTCCGACCCGATAAAATGGTTTGACAGGTCAAGCTACATGTGAAGAAGAAAAGAAACCATTACAACGTGAATGCTTTAAGTTTTTTTGAATCACGAGCATAACAAAAAAAAAGGGAGATTGGTGAATTGTTGAAAGCTCGAGTTTTACCTTCTTGGAAGGTTCGATCTGGGAACCACCATGCCAGGTGCTTTGCTTCGGTTTCTTCTCCATGAATTTGTCCAAGAAAGCAGTTAGGCATAAATCGTTTAACGGGTTCCCGTTGTAAACAATGTTCGTCCCTGACAAAAGGGTTCCAGCCATTGTAGCCACTGAAGGGTGAACGTGTGAAGAAAGAACCGTCAATTCCCACCAACTTGCACGATCTCCATTGCTGTTTTTGTTCATCAGAGAACGAGGAATAAGCCGAAAGTGAGCTTTCATGTTTTGCAGACAAAATGGTAAAACAAAATAAGCAAACCATGTAAGAAACAACTCCAAACACGCATTTACGAGGTAATGGAGCCAGTAGAGTGACCCAGTGGATCCCATTCTAAGCGTATAAGAAGTCGAGATTACTGCTAAATCTAAGACCAGTTCTGTAACTAATGCTGTTCTGAGCTGGTCATGACACATAAAATGGATCACAGCAGTAACAGAGCCACAGAATAAGCTCCAGTATTCACGTCATATGGCAAGAGAGACAGCTTAACATACATATCGTGAGTCCTAGATAAGATTAGTGGAGGAGGACTATTACCAGTAAGAAGGTTCTCTGTGACGAGGATCATATCCTCCGGGAAGACAAGTTGATGACAAAGGCAGTTGGCTTCTTCCCATATCATTGGAGATCTCCTTGGTTTCTTTATGATCCGGAGAATTCTCTCTTATAAATAGTTCTTCTCCATCATCGGATGGATCATCATCTTCTTCTTCATCAGATTGAGGAACGGGTGCATCATCTTCATCATCCGAAGAAGAATCACTACCTGTCCTGGTAACTTCATCACCATCATTATTGAGTCCAGTATCGTTCCTTTCTTTCTCGGATTCCTTCCCGGATTCAATATCGTCTTCCTCTTTCACATCTTCAAAGTGTTCTATATCTTCTTCATCATCAACCGATTCCTTCTGGAGCACCATGTTCCTGAATGGAGGCGAAAATACACTGAACGACAGCTAAATAGGCTATGAACTTTGCAACTTACAGAACCAAAATGTCGGGCAAACATACCAAAGAGGCGGCCTTGCTTTTAGTACCTCGGACAAGAGGAAAAGGCATCCACATGCATATTGCGGCGGCTGCTGAAGCGCTACCTATTCAAGTATTTAATGGAAACTTTAAGATATGACCCAAAAAGAGAATTTCTTATTAACTTACAGAATGCTGATGCAACACGTTGGAAACTGGATATGAAGAGCTGATATGAATTCCCTTCAATCTCGAAATCGAATAGCAATACTAACCTGCAAGACCCTTTTGGAGAAGGCAGCGACACGTTTCACGTTTATATCGTTTTTCATAGCTCTGAGGAGAAGTCCAATAAACATTTCTGCCTGAAAATAAAAATTACAAGTTACTGAACAGACTTAAGCAGAATAGTGATACAACATAGCCATATTAGTACGTAAGACATGAAATCTATTCTGCGTAGATGGGTGTAAATATATTTACAACAAAACTCAAACTTAATTATGGTTTGAAACAATATACAACAACAACAACATCGCCTCATTCCCAAGTTCATTTGGGGTCAGCAAAAAAATCATGCAAAGTCCAATTGAAAACTAAGAATAAATGTATGACATATGGGGAAAAACATAAAACACAAGGAAAAAAATATACTTGCCTTGGAAGAATTCATTGCGGAGGGAAGTAGAAGTTTTGAATACAAAGCACGGTAAAACCTATCACTGACAATCTTATTCTTGGATGAGATCTTGTCAAGAAGCATCAGTGCTTGAACTCCCACGTTGAAATTATTTGAGTGCACCTGCAAACATCCATGATCTTCATTTCAATTCATTTTCTATTAGAGATCCATTAAGGTACAATAAGATTTACCAGTTTAAAAAGCATCGGAGTCTGTGCTTCAATTATATCATCGACCTCACTGGTAGAAACGTAAGGAAAAGCTCTGTTAACTCCCTGTGATAACAGAGAAATGGAGCATTAGCTGACTTGCAAACTTCCGAGGATAAATCACATAGGGAAAAAAAACCCAGACTGACCGTTAGTAGAGCTGATAGAATTCTAGAATCCATTTCAACATGTGAATCAGAAGACTTCACTTGTTTAGCTTCCTTAAGATTAGAAGTTTTCTTGTCAGCCACTACTTTGTCCTCTGCACCTTGTTTGCCATCTGCTTCTGTGATTAAAACCTACAAGAATGAAATATACCCTTCAGACTCTAACGATTGAAGACAATTGCATCACCTCCCCGAGATGATATTATGAAGGTGAGAATGAGCGGATGAAAGATCCAAAAGGAGGATAACAAATATTCGATTCTCAGACATTACAGGGGAAGGCAGTCCATACCTTAAAAAGAGCGAAATACACATCAATGAGACGCTTTGCTGCTTTTGGATCTCCTCCTTTATGACTCAAACGGATCTGGCTCAAAAAGTTAACCTGCGCAGTTTACAAGCTAGTAAGATCAATTCAACAGACAAACATAATCACTACACTCGCTTTCCTTCTTTTCTTTTCTTTTTCTTTTCTCGAGTCACCAAAGACGAAATAGAAGTGTATTGAAAAGATACTACTAGAATTATTTCCCCTCTTAGTTCAAAAGAAGCCAATGAAAACATGCTTAAAGCGACGGAAAGTCTGAAAGTCTTTCATGTTAATCCAAGGAAACCAAAGTCTGGGAAAGATAGAGAATTAACTTTCGGGGATATCAAATAAACAGGAAAAAGGGCAGGACATACAGCATGATATTTTGCACGTAACCCAAGCTGAGGCCGGAAAAGAAAGGAGTCAACTTCATCAATTACCACAGCCTGTAAAAGAGAAGTCACCAGTCATGCCAGAAGAGAAGAACCCTGAACAACCGGTCTGGTAACCAAACATAAGGAAGTTAGATAATCATACCTTCATATTAGGATGGTCAGCCAAAAGATTTGACAGGTGGAAATCAGCATTAGATGCACTCCTGTTTTGAGGATCCCCCAACTGTATAAAATAATCAAAACAATTAAAAGGATTGCAGTCATAAAAGTTGAATTACGTACAGCTTGGAAAACATTTCACAAGCCTAGAGGAAATTATGGATACCTTGTTCACCAACGCAGCTAGCAATCTACGCTCCTGTTCTGATTTGCTTGTTAACAGGAAATATATGGTCTGGAAGGAAATATATTATGTGTTATAAAGTTTCTGATCAAGTAGCCGAGCAAAAATCCAACAAAGCTATCAGAAGAACTGAGACTTCTACCAGTTTTGCATAATCTAAAAACAGGTAAAGATCATAGGTAATATAAAATATTTAAATCTTTTTTTTCCGTAAATTTTTTGCGCTCATCAAACGCTAGGCATAGAGGCTAGGACACTGCAAAGGGGTGAGAAGGTATACCTTCAAAGCCTTGTCTTTGAGTTGTGGAAGCATATCCCTTGATGCTTCCTCAAGTGCGATAACAAACCGCTCATACCTACAAAGCATCCATGTTAATGTGATATTGGGTTAAAAGAATTACAGTAGGAAGACAGAAAGCTCTTATTATTTATTTAGTGAGGTGAAAAAAGCATGCCCCCTCAAATTTAAGAAACCCGGCAATGTCAGAAAGAACAACTAAACAAGACAAGAGTTCTTTCACCTCTCTTTCAAACATTCCTCCCAGTACCAAAACAGCAAAAGTGAATAACCATCCTTTGTCTCTGGGATGCTATTCAGAGGCCGCTGCAAAAGTGTTTTCAGCTTTCGATCAGGTAATAACCTGAAGAATCAGATGTTTCAGTTAGTTAAACAAATGCAGAGCATTGACATGACTGGATTATGGATATGCTTATGGCGAGTGATGGAAAGAGAGGTACTTGATGAAAAGTTCCGACAGCGCTTTAAACCCCTTAAAAGCATATCTTTTGCCGATCTTGGAAGTCACCATTCCTACAATTAACAAGTCCAATTGAATCATCCAAAAGCAACAGAGTACAGACTGCGGGGAATACATGAGAGGAAACATTTAGGTAATTTCACCATTCAAAATAGAATCAAATCCCAGAAGTTTATAGCTAAGCAAATCCATTACTCCTAGAATTATAACCTAAAGGACTAATCACAGACTCAACTTGCAGATAAACCACTTAGCCAAAGTCGATGTTCTTAAACCCTCGAACTCAAACATTCAAAACCAAATTTAGAGAAGATTATGAAGATTACTACAACACAAAAGATTTTATTTTCATTTTCAATGAAAAACATACCCACTAGCGCATCAAGCGATCTCATATTAGCAATGGGATTCTCTCCGACCATGATCTCAAATGCAGTGACTTTGTCAGTCACTGTCCCTGACTTTTGCGCGGCGACAACCATCTTCATGTCTCCGCTTTTCCCTTTTGAGGAATTGAAATCCTCCGTATACTGCCACATCAATCTCTCTCCCAGTTCCCTCTTCTTCTCCATCAAACCCTTACGCTGCTCCATATTAGTCTCAACCGCTTTCCGTTTATCTCCGCCGAAGATCTTCTCCTCCAGTTCCTCGGCATCCTTGTACCATTCCGAGCTCAATAAACTCGCCCTCACCAACGGTAGCTTCGGCAAACTCTTGTACTTCTCGAAGCGTTTGCCTTTAAACCCGCCATTTTCATTGTCAACCGACAAAATTTCAGGATTTGGCTTCGGTTTTTCCATTCTCTTCATCCGGGTATCTACCTTTTCGCTCCCAGGCCGCAGATTCTTTCCGGTTTCGTTCGAAATCCTCGAGTTTGGCTTCTTTGCGACCCCTCGTTTATGCTCGTCATGCTGTTTCTGACTGGATTCATCGTTCTTAGGCTTTTTCTGCTTCTGGGATTCGATTTTTCCGGTTTTCCGGAAATCAGAATCGTTGAAGCCCGAAGAAGGGAGAGACGACGAGACCAGGCCGAGAGACGAAGCGAAGGATTCAACATCGTTTTTCAGAAGCTCCAAGTCCACGGATGACTTCTTCGAAGACTTTGGATTCGACATCACGAATCCAATACGGTGAAGTAACGAGATTGAAGAAAGCTAAGTGGAAGAGGTTTTGCTAGGGTTTTTAAAGAGCGGCACGAAGGAGACGGACCAGACGAGAACAACGAAAAAACGCTGCGTTTTGAAAGGAAAGGTTATATCGGGAATATAAAAATTAAGGGAGGGCAAAAGCGTCATAAAATGGACATTAGGGCTTTTACTTTCTCAGAACCTTCCTTTATATCGCTTACTTCTGCGTCGTCCTTCTCCTCTTTAATCTTCATCATCCTTCACGCCCCACTCGTTGTTTGTGCAACAGAATCTTAATCTCTGCGTCTCTCTTAGGGTTTCGGAGGAAGAAAGAGGGAAACAATGGCGGCGAACGGAGCTCTGGCGACTAGACAGCTCTCCCAGAAGGAGGCTGACATCCAGATGATGTTGTCGGCTGAGGTTCACCTCGGCACGAAGAACTGTGACTTCCAGATGGAGCGTTACGTCTTCAAGAGACGCAACGACGGTACCCTCTCTTTATTCTTTTGATTTGCTTCCCCCAGATACGAGTATGAATGTGGATGGATGTGTGGTCATCAATGGCAGTGAGATTGTGTGTCAATCTGGTGGGAATATATCTGCGAACGAAGCCTTTGGTTTTCAATTTGTTGTCAGTGATCTGTTGTGTTATGATTTTACTCTTTTCATGTGAAATGTATCGGAAAACACGAACTTTGTCGTGTTTGCTTAGTCAATTTTCCTGTTTTTATATTTTGGATGGTACTTGAGATTTTGTGAGTGTTTCTTCGTCTCTGAATCCGTCTTCTAATAGCATCTGATAGAGAAATCCCCAAGAAAGGATTTGTAGTCCTTGAAATCACATTTCCGTCTGATTTTGTCTGGAGCATCTGAGAGTGCAGAATATGGATAATTTTTCCTAAATATAAATATAAATATAGTGAGCTTGCCTATAGTCTGCTGTTTAATTTCCTTGAAGCTTGTGGGATTAGTTGTCCTTCTTGACTTGTTTAGTGTCATATGCATGGCCTGGTTCTTCATGCATTAAAGTTCTCTTCCGTTTCAGGTATCTATATCATCAACCTGGGGAAAACGTGGGAGAAACTCCAGCTTGCTGCTAGGGTTATCGTTGGCATCGAGAATCCACAAGACATCATTGTCCAATCTGCTAGGCCCTATGGACAGAGAGCTGTCCTGAAGTTTGCCCAGTTCACTGGTGCTAACGCCATTGCTGGAAGGCACACTCCCGGTACCTTCACCAACCAGATGCAAACTTCTTTCAGCGAACCCAGGCTGTTGATTCTTACTGACCCAAGAACTGACCACCAGGTATAATGTAATATCCTTCCGTTAATCTTTACCGGGTTTCTCTTCCCTTTTTGGACAATTGGTAATGGGCTTCCTGTCTGCTGCAGCCAATCAAGGAAGCTGCGCTTGGAAACATCCCAACCATTGCCTTCTGTGACACAGATTCTCCAATGAGATATGTTGACATTGGTATCCCTGCCAACAACAAGGGAAAGCACAGCATTGGTTGTCTCTTCTGGCTTTTGGCCCGCATGGTCCTTCAGATGCGTGGAACCATTCGTCCTGGCCAGAAATGGGATGTCATGGTAAGCAACCACAGTTCCGTTTTCTGAATCTTGATGCTTTACCCTTTTGGGAGAAACCTGTCCATTATGAAATCTGCTATTAGGTTACCAACATGTTTAACCGCTGAATCTTTGTGCTTTTCTTTCGCAGGTTGACCTGTTCTTCTACAGGGAGCCTGAGGAGGCGAAGCAGCAGGAAGAGGAAGAAGCTGTTCCCCAGACTGACTTTGGACTGCCTGCTCCTGACTATGGAGTTGGTGCTATTGGGGACCAATGGACTACTGCTCAGATCCCAGATGCTGCATGGCCTGGCGAGGCTCAGCAGCCGATCCCTGCTGTTCCTGCTGTTGCCTCCTGGAGCGAAGCCAGCGGTACGATCCTAAAAATCGCCCGAGATTTGTTTTTTGCTGGCTTGAAGTTATTTGCCCCTTTTGTTGCCGAATCCTGAATCATCTGTGTCGGTTTTTGCAGTTCCAGTTGCGGCAGACGGATGGGATGCGGCTGCGCCACCCCAGGCTGCCCCGGAATCAGGTTGGAATTGAAATATTTTTGGCCGAAATCGGGTTTTGGATGAAATATGTTATTGCTGATAGACCTTTTTTTTTAAAAAAAAAAATTGGTTTGAGATAGAAAGTGGTCGGACCAAGTGAATTTGTATCACTTGTTTTTTTTTTGTGTGTTCCTCTCTTGAAGAACATGCAATAGTAGTAGTAGTACTTGGTAGCCTTTTTGTTTAAAGTTTCCACCTTTGAATTGTCATCTTTCATTTCCGTTCTCTCTTATGTACCATACTATCGTTTTGTTTCAGGCGATTAAAATTCAACGCCAATTGTAAATCACTCTTTCTCCATTAAGGTACAATAAGATTTACCAGTTTAAAAAGCATAG